CCTCTCTTTTTTTCTGACCAGTACAATAATTCAAAATAAAGCGCCAACTTATTTGGCGCTATATATGTAAAAAAAAAAAAAAACTTCCCGGCTCCCCATTTTCTATATAAAGAGGTTAGAATCGCATAGAAATGCATTCAAAAATTTTTTTAACTCTTGACGTCTGTTGTTGTTAATTTCTCCAGCATTTTTTTATAATGTCTGAAGAGCGTAGGATAAGAGTTTCATTATATTGGGGTGGTGAGGTTGTGATGGAGAATAACTCCGTGGGCTACAGTTTACCTACTAAGTGTCATGTTAAATTGCCACTGACAATGGAGTACGATACATTGATATCGTTGTTATGCAAAAAAATGAGTGTGAGGAAACGTTCGGTGATATTTAAAGTAACCGGAAGATATCCTTATTCCGTCACTCCGCAAGGGGTTGCTTTTTACTCGGAGTTTAACATCGACGATGATGAAACTTTGAGTGATTTTTTGAGGACTCCGGACGAATGTCGGGATTTTCTTGTAATCACAATGTTGGAGATGTACGTGAAGGTCGAAGACGTTCCAAAAAATGAGGTTGTGCGTAGTAGAGATAACCCCCAGTCATCGGGGGGTTATTCTGGAACAGTTTTTGCCGGACAAGTTCCGGATGAAAGAGTTATCTTTGATTTAAACTTATCACCGCCGGTGAATGAGCAGCGAGAAAATATTTTAAACCCTGCTTTCCATAACTCACAAGACGAGTGGTAAATTTTAATTTTCATTTGTGTTAATTATGTATATATTTGTTGTATTGAATTTGTCTTAACGCTCACATATTTAATAGGGGTTACCGGCCGGATATGAATTTTACAAGTGGCCCATCCGGTAGTCATCACCTAATTGATAACGTCCATCATGAAATTTTATCAAATTACGACTTGTAAGTGAAGTGATTTACACAAAATATGAAAATTATTTATTAATTTAGTAGCTTATATTTTTGTTGGTTGTGCAGTGAAAACGAGCAAGTTGAACTCACTCAATTGCCCGAAAATGATGTATTACATCGGGACCTGGTAGATGCACAGAGTCAGGAACAGAACAGTGATTACGATAACAATGCGGATGAATCCGGGGATGAGACACCCTTTGCTCGTGAGGATGGTGATGCAGAGGATGAGGAGGAAGGACCTGATTTGAAGAGAGACCCCCCTAGACGAAGAGTGTATGAGTCCGAAGTGACGTTTCATTCAAGAGAGATCCCTTACATTGATAACTTGCCAGCCGTGCCGGATGTGGAAGCTCTCACAAGGGATTTTGATGAAATCCGGACAGCAATGTGGGATGAGTCTAGACCAACGGTACTTGCAAAGGGGATGCTTTTTCCTGATAAAGCGCGCCTAAGCAGGGCTTGTAAAATGCACAACGTAAAAGAGTGTCATGAGATGCAGGTATGGGAGTCAAGTCCGACGGTATACAAGGTTGTTTGCCGCAGGTGGTTTTGGCCATGTAATTGGATGTTGCGTGCGACCAAGAAGAAGACAGGTATGTGGAAAGTGGGTAAATACATTCCCACCCACACAGGCAAGCCATCAGCGGACAGGCCATATAAAATCTCTGCGTCCTGGAGTGTGATGGTGGCCTTGCCAATGGGAAGATGGAAAGTGTGCGTCTCCGGTCGCCATCGCTCAATCATGGCCGTGATCAAAGCATAGTCGAGCTGTATCCGACCAATCCTAATAATCCTATAAAATCCCATCTTCTCCAAGTGATGGACCACGCGGGGATGTAGAACGCGGGGAGGACTCAAAAACTCCCATAGTAGATCCACTCTCCTGGCCCGAAAAGTCGTTGTAAGCAACTGTCCCTCCAGATATACTCGGATCTATGCTGGGGCTGTAGGGCTAATAGATCCGACGTCCGAGGGCCGGGATGTATAGGCGCATCCATGTCGTCAACTGTAAAATCATAATTTTTAATAACATAATTGTACAAATTATCATTAATAATTATGTATTTTTTTTATAATTGAAATTCATATTTTTTAATAACTTAATTGTATAAATTACTTACGTATGGGTTCCAGGCTCGATATTTTGAGGCACCACAGCTATATGTATTTTTTTATAATTTAAATTCATATTTTTTAATAACTTAGTTGTATAAATTACTTACGTATGGGTTCCGGGCTCGATATTTTAAGGCCCAGTGGCACCAAATTATCATTAATAATTATGTATTTTTTTTATAATTTAAATTCATATTTTTTAATAACTTAATTGTACAAATTACTTACGTATGGGTTCCGGGCTCGATATTTTGAGGCCCAGTGGCACCAAATTATCATTAATAATTATGTATTTTTTTATAATTTAAATTCATATTTTTTAATAACTTAATTGTACAAATTACTTACGTATGGGTTCCGGGCTCGATATTTTGAGGCCCAGTGGCACCAAATTATCATTAATAACTATG